CCGGCCACGGGGCAGGCGGGCGGGCGCCGGAGACCCCGCCGGGGCTGAGCCTTGGCAAGCGGGCGGTGAGGGCCCCGCTGCGGCTCCTCGCCATGTCCTCGGCCAGCGACGCCAGTGGCCACTTCCCTTTGCACCTCCTGGTCTGGAACAATGACTACCAGCAGCTGGAGAAGGAGCTGCGGGGCCAGGTGAGGTGAGGGGCGGGGTGGGGTCCGCCCCCGGTGAGGGGGAAATCCGGAGTCGTTTCACCTCCCTGAGCCCATCTTCTGCCCTCTGCCCTCGGTGCTGTGCAGACTAATCAGTTCCGCAGTAGTGGGACAGCAATAATAATAAAACATGGATTGGGTGCTTACTGTGTGCCAGGCCCTGTGCCAAGGGCTTTATTACATTATCTCTTTTGCCTTTCCAGCAATCTTAGGAGGTGCTATTATTATATTTGACAGAAAAGGAAACGGAGATGCTCAGAGGTTATATGCCTTGCGCAAGGTTTCCCACCTATGAAATACCAAGTTGGGATTTTAACTGTGGCTGGCTTGTTCCAGGGAGCACCGTCTTAACCACTAGCTAGGCTCCACTGCCTCTCCTAAAGATGTTAAGAACTACACATACCATTCACCCCACCCACCCTTTTTGTAAGGAAGTGCTTGGTTGGGTTTAGAGTCCAGGTTTGGAGTCCAGGTTCGAACTGGCCCTGTGACCTTGGGCAAGGCATTTTTCCTTTCTGGCTCCTGGGAGGCTTATACATATAAAAATTTGAGAGGCTGGTATATACCAAAATTTGAGAGTCACTGGTGCCCAGGATCCTTAAAACTTTCTCTTCTAAAGTGCTTTGATTGCTTGTCTTTTACTCATTGCCATCTCTTTAAAGCAGTGGTTCTTAATTGGCAGTGATTTTGACCTTTCACTTCTCTAAATGGTGATACATGTAGACATTTTTGGTTTTTACAAACGGGGAGTGGTTGCTATTGGGATATAGCGATAAAGGCCCCAGGGATGCTGCTCAACATCCTACAAGACAGCCAATGCACAAGACAGCCCCCTGCAACCAAGAATTATCTGGTCCAACTTGGCAGTAGTGTTTTGCTTGAGAAACCCTTGTTTAAAGGCATCTCAATTCTGGGAGTTATTGGTGTTTTCAAGTTACAAGCTAACAGACTTAGCAGTTAGAATAAGGGTTTGTAGTTATTTGGCATAATTGTATTTGTTGGCTTCATTTTATCCAGTGTGCTAAAGTCCTGGGTTTTGAGTGGCTCAAAACTTACGTTATAATTGTCAAGAAATTTTGAAGGAAAAGGGAGCATTGGTTTTCTTTTGGTTGGCAAAAATTGAGCAAAGTCAGCATCACCCCATTTGATGAAGAGTTACTGCTAAGCATGTTCTTATACCCTGCCATATTTCTTTTAAATCTGTTGAGCACCCACTGGAAATCAAAAGTTGCTCTTTTTCATTTAAATCCTCCATCTACGGAGAATAAACTTTTATTATAAGAGTCATTGGTCTTAATTAGATCATGCCCCCAGAGTAAATGATTCACCATTAGGCATCCTAGTATACCTAATGATTCAATTATCTTTCTGTTGCTAGACGCTGCCTCTCCTAAAGATGTTAAGAACTACACATACCATTCACCCCACCCACCCTTTTTGTAAGGAAGTGCTTGGTTGGGTTTAGAGTCCAGGTTTGGAGTCCAGGTTCGAACTGGCCCTGTGACCTTGGGCAAGGCATTTTTTCCTTTCTGGCTCCTGGGAGGCTTATACATATCAAAATTTGAGAGGCTGGTATATACCAAAATTTGAGAGTCACTGGTGCCCAGGATCCTTAAAACTTTCTCTTCTAAAGTGCTTTGATTGCTTGTCTTTTACTCATTGCCATCTCTTTAAAGCAGTGGTTCTTAATTGGCGGTGATTTTGACCTTTCACTTCTCTAAATGGTGATACATGTAGACATTTTTGGTTTTTACAAATGGGGAGTGGTTGCTATTGGGATATAGCGATAAAGGCCCCAGGGATGCTGCTCAACATCCTACAAGACAGCCAATGCACAAGACAGCCCCCTGCAACCAAGAATTATCTGGTCCAACTTGGCAGTAGTGTTTTGCTTGAGAAACCCTTGTTTAAAGGCATCTCAATTCTGGGAGTTATTGGTGTTTTCAAGTTACAAGCTAACAGACTTAGCAGTTAGAATAAGGGTTTGTAGTTATTTGGCATAATTGTATTTGTTGGCTTCATTTTATCCAGTGTGCTAAAGTCCTGGGTTTTGAGTGGCTCAAAACTGACGTTATAATTGTCAAGAAATTTTGAAGGAAAAGGGAGCATTGGTTTTCTTTTGGTTGGCAAAAATTGAGCAAAGTCAGCATCACCCCATTTGATGAAGAGTTACTGCTAAGCATGTTCTTATACCCTGCCATATTTCTTTTAAATCTGTTGAGCACCCACTGGAAATCAAAAGTTGCTCTTTTTCATTTAAATCCTCCATCTACGGAGAATAAACTTTTATTATAAGAGTCATTGGTCTTAATTAGATCATGCCCCCAGAGTAAATGATTCACCATTAGGCATCCTAGTATACCTAATGATTCAATTATCTTTCTGTTGCTAGACGTGGCTCTGAGGGAGGACTCCATCATTTTGCTCTTAACTCTAAGTCTTACTCACCTTGGAAAGGTTGAGATAAAGTACAGAGTTAGAGAATTAACATCTCATTTGATAGAAAGGTTCATCAATATCATTAAACCACACGCTCTTTCAATACCAATTTCTGAAACTAGGTGTTCTAGTCATTGGAGGTGAAGAAAAGAGTTTAAATGAAGTGCAGTTTTTCTTTATAAAAAAAACTTGTTTGATAAGATTGAAGTCTTGGTTTATAATCTAAAATATGGCATAGTTGAATTATCTCTTTTTTTCTGCAAGCTGTAATAAAAGTGTTCCTTGAAAATTCTCTGTGCCCCTTACCTTGAAGAATGTTAAGGATATTTGTGATTAGAGAATAATAATATTGTAGCAGATTTTCCTGGAGTAAATTGGTCTTTAATGCCTTCAGCTCTCAAGGAGGTCAAGGTAGAATATTAATACTTGCTAAATTATTTGGCTTTGACTTTGTTATTGGTAATCACTGTAGATCACTTCACACTATGCCTATTTCCTTTGAGGAAGAGGTAGTTGAAATGTATTCATAAAGAACATCTTGACCATGCAATCCAATTTCAATCCTGTAACTTGGCCATTGAAAGGATCAAGATGGGCTGGCTTCCGGGCCATGCTACCTGTGCTCAGAACAAGCTCGTGCATAGTTTAATATGCTGCTTTTACTGTCTTGAAATTTATTTTTTTGCATTTTCATTTTTCACTGGGCCCTGTAACTTATGTGACTGGTTCAGGGTCAAGAAGTTGATAATTGATATCATTAAAATATATGGCAGGGAGTATTTTATTGCTTTCGTATTTATTGAGCTACTCGTTGATTATGAAACAGCTACCTACTTCTGTGACTTGAAGGCAGTTGGATTAATGGCCAGTACTGATGCTGATTAAGTTGTGAGAATAGGTGTGTTATTTACTCTTGCTGAATTGTTTTATCACTTGTAAAAATGGAGAGAATAACACTGAAAGCTTACTGTTTTGCCAGGTACTTTGCTGAAAAGTTTCATGTGCAGTTTTATATTTAATTCTTGCACCGGTCCTCTGGGGTGAGTGCTATTACAATTCCCATTTTACAGATTAGGCAACCGAGGCGGAGAGGCTCAGTTGCATGTTTAGCTAGTGGCTGAACCAGGATGTGAACCCAGAAAGTTAGACTCTGCCCTAATCTTGTATTCTTAACCCTTCTGTTATACTTCATTCAGTAGAAGTTCCTCCATTTCAGGATTGTGGAAAATAAGGCAGAGTGGAGAACTGATCTGAAAATGCAGGCACGTAGTAAATGGGTACAATACCATTTGCCGTGATTGCTGCTGTTATTATGGTCGTGGGTCTTTAGCTTCTTTTATGTATGTTCCAGTTTTTCCACAAGGAAAACATATTGGTTGTATAATTAAAAACAAAAAATTCCTACTACCCTAGCAATAAAACCAGCTGTTTCACTTAATATTTTGTTTGCCAGTAAGTTTCTGCTGTCCATTCCTTCATTCTTTCCATTTCGCCAGAGAGAATTAAGCAGGCATACTGGTAACTAGAAGAATTTTATTTTGTTTTAGGAACAGTAGCACAGAAAGAATCAAGTTTATCCAGATGAAGCAGATAAGCAGGAAGCACGTGTTTCTGAGTGTGTGTGAGTCAGCCCCCCTTCTTGCTAATAGCTGGAGTTGGCTGTTTATATAACTTTGTCAACTATGAGATTGTTTCTAGTTTTCAACAGAGGCACTTTATTAAATGCCTTTTAACCCATCACTCTACTGTCCTTGATATTCAGTAGGGTCTTGATGTTGGTTGGTGCAGTTGAAATATTTGCATTATGGTTTTGCCATTTGTCATTTAGTGAGAGAGGTCTGTAAAACATCTTTGGTTTTACCCATGCTGAGAGAATGAATGAAACCGTAAGGGGACAGTTGCAAAGGTCAGTCAGTGCATCTTAGATGTGGGAGGGAAAACCCTGGGACTGAGTAGGGTAGAGGGTGGCAGACACTAAGGGCCAGTCCCCTAGCAAGTGAAGGCACAAAATCCAGGCAAGAGGATGAGGGTGGTCTAGGCATCAGTATTTGGAACTATGGTGAGGTGCTCACCCCAGCCTGTGGCAAGGCTGGGTAAGGCCAGTGGCACACGTTTGAGTCAGTGCCTGTTTACTGGAGGCCGGCCATGAGCCAGGGGCTGAGCATCCAAGATAAAAGCCTAGAACCTGTTCTCAAGTGCTCCTCCTCAGCCCTGGGGATTCAGGCTCACCTTAGGAAACCAGGCTTGTGGATACCTTTATTCCACTGACCTGGAGCTGGGGAACCAGTTCAGGCCACAGCCGCAGAGGACAGGGCAATCTGAGAGTGCACAGGAATGAGGGTGGTGGCCTGAGCTTCCTCCCTAGAGGTAACAGTGATAGTTTATGAAGCCTTACTTCATGCACAGAAGGGTTGAGTAATTCACCTGAGGCTAGTAAGGGACCCAGCAGAATGGGCCTGTTGTTTGGCTTTGCAGCCTGCACTCAAAGCTCGGCCTTTTACTGCCTCTGGAGGACAGCAGGATGGTAAAGAAGGCTTTCATCA